AAAACAAAACTTTGCAGATATGGCATTGTGTTTTTATGTTTCTCTTTTGAAGGCCACAGTAACCAGTGTCTTAGAATACCTGATAAGCTGGTTTGGAGAGAAAAAATTTACTCCAGAACTGGTAATTTTTTTCTAACTACTCGCATGTGAGCACCTGTTTTCTATGAAATTGTTTTAATTTCCAACTAGTTCTCTAGATATGTGTACTGTATTCAGTTGTTCTCAAAACTCACCTGAGTAGATGCTAGATTGAACATACACAGAACTTTTTGAAAGGGTAATTACAAAAGAGCAGACAGAGATCTTTCAGGTACTGCTAAAACTCCCCATTTCATTTGCTCTCCACAATAACTTAATCTGCAAGGTCGAAGGGTGCTGGGGAGAAAAGAGGGCCAGAGTACAGAAGCTTTGAAGTCAGTGAGCTGCAGGTTGTATTTGCTAACGTCTGCTTTAGTTTGGAGATGGTATTCTGCTAAAAGAGATCATTTAATCTCTTCATGTGCAGCACTATGTTATCTATGTTAGTGTGGAAACAGATCCAATCTGATATAAAATTGAGAGTGATGGAGTACATTAGCATGAAGTTTGGCCACAACTAGATTAACTAGCTGTATACCACAAAATAAATGAACAATGAAAAATTCCACAATACTAAATACAGCTTCTTGATTTTTGAGTTGCTTAAAGGCCTTTTCTGTTCTGAACTTTTCTTAGTGACCAATATGCTGCAGAGCACGTGCACATTCTTAGTTTAATCCTATTATGAAAGGCACTAGGCACTAGAATTAATTTAATGAGTTAAACTGGTAGCAAAGTGACGTTTACAATATTGTGAGTGATGTTTGTAGTACTGAATAATGTTCAGTAAGTAAAAAGCAGAGGACGTTTTTTTTGCAGTGGGGTAAATCCTAAGGCTGATGTAACAGCATTGCTTCCACAAAGATCTGACTTATATATTCATTCTTTAGAATGTTTTTCCATGGCTTATGAAGTTAACAAATAATAGCTATGTAATTATTGCTCAAATAGTGCTTCCCTTAGATTAATAGAAGAAACTGTTCAAAAAAAAAAAAAAAAAAGCAAGCAGGCAATCCAGGAGCATGCTCACAAGAAGCTTATTTACAGGCATAAAATTCTACTATGCAGTCTCTAATATGGCCCTTCAAACTTTACCTTTCTGTCAATGGCACTTAAATGAAATTTTGCTTTGAGACCTGTGCCCAAGGCCTACTACATACAACGTTTTTCTTTTTTCAAAGAAGTGCCCATAATTAAAAACTCACTATTTCAATCCACACAGGGTAGATGGTTTTATGCACTGTTGGCATGCCTTGAAAAACCTTTGCTACCTGAAGCTCACTCCCTTATTCGACAGTTGGCAAGGCGGTGCTCAGAAGTGAGAGTACTGGAGGTAAGATTTAATTTAATGTTGTGAAAAGGACTGTTTCAACTTCATAAATTATCAAGAGAATGATTTCTCAGCTCTTAAATTCTTGATAAGTTATTTTTCATATTTGAAGTCTGCTGGAGAATGAGAGGAAGACTGCAACATATAACATGGCAGGTAACTTTTTTCTAGTGGATATGGTTAACAGAAGAACTGTTCTGGTATTTGTTTCTCTTTCAGGAGAACAAGAACGAAGAGCAAGTTTCAGCTCTGAACCTCTTAATCTGCTTAGTTAGCAGGTAATGCAAACCACAAATATAAAATAGCAGAGTATGTCCAGAACAAGTGTGATTATCCTTATGCTAACATAGATTCCTTTAAAGTGAAAGTCAATCCAAGTAGTCTGGATGTATGTAGCAGACATACTTAGTTACCAGGACCAGACAAACCCAAGGCTAAAACAAAGAAAACACATTAGTTTTCTTTGGTGAGCCCCCTCAAACATTTGGCTCACCAAATATATGGTGTCATATTATTATATATGTCATATATATGGTGTCATAACGTCATATTCTATAAATATGATAGAAATACTAAATTAAACCTGGAAAGCAAATGGTCTAACAACTCAGAGCAAAGTAAGGAGTGTGTTGCATTAGAGTTTTCTTACTGTATTCCACTTCTCTCCCCTAGGTACTTTGATCAACGTGATTTAGCTGATGAACCCTCCTAGACTTTTCTGACAAAACCATTTTCTGTTGCAAAGCACAGAGTAGTACAAATAGTACAAACAGTGTACAGGTCTGAAGTGTGCAGTGTCAAGTACAATACAACTTCTTCAGAGCACCCTCAACATAATAATACATTTGGGACAGCTATGAATAACTGAAGCTGATCTTTAGCATGAAGGTACTGCTCTCCAGTATCCTCATCGTAAAATGGTCCATGAATTATCTGTCATTATCTCTCAAGCAACTATCTTAGTATAACAGATTCTTCATTACAAATTTTTGCCATCTGAGTAATCCTGTGGATGCTGTCATTAGGTTCCGAGTTTAAAGAGATGTCACAGATGACTGTTCTTTATCTAATACACATCCCTTGAGGTCTTTTTTAATAAAACTAAAATGTTCTTTAAGCTGTTCTTAAACATTGTGGCTTTTCTCATTCTTCATAGTACTTAACGACTGCTTCACTTCAGAAGCCTACACAATTGGGATCCAATGTGTTTTTTCAGGAAACAGTTACTGAGCTTAAATACTGCTCAACAATACAACTATAGCCAGTGAATTACTGAAAAAATTATGTTACCAAAACATAAAAGGAGGTAGTGCATAGATTTCCTCAGTAATAATATTTGCTACTTTATATAAACAGTGGCAGAAACCAGGGGTAAAGGCACAGCTGTATTCAGTACTCTTTAACAGAAGCACTTATTAAACAAAACGGACAAATTTATTTTCTGTGTAATATCTTGACAAATACGTTAGCTCACCTGTTTAACACATTGAACAGGGAATTCTTTGCCAAGAATACTGGTGTCTCCTTCGTACATACATGATTCTATTGGGTTTTAATTATCTTCAGCAATTGAAAATCCAGTCTAAAGGAACTCTGATTTCTGCAGGTAACAGCAGACTGATAGATAGTATTGAATTTCACACTGTGCAGGAAGCAGATGTCAATCCCTCGCTATTTAAAAAAGACATATCATTAAGCACGAGTTAATGGTTAAGCCCATAGCATAACTTAGGATTATTACCACTTTCTTATGTGGAATGGTAATTTTAACTGTCAAGTGAAAATGAAAGAAACTACGACAGTTTTAATTTTAGAGAAGCAAATTACAAAATGCCCTTCCAAGTTGTGTGGGTGTCACTGAAGTGTCCATCTGTCAGGCACAGTGCAAGTCAGTCCCTTTAATAACAGCAGTTAAAAACAGCACGAGTTGGCAACTGAAGCGCCCACAAAATGCACTCAGGAAGAACAGTAATCAGCTAATCCTCTCACCTTACAATTTCAGAGAAGCCTGAATCATACAGTTGGACAACCACCACAACCTCCCTATAAACTACCAGTGTAAGTGCTCAGTGTTTTCAGTCACACAGCTGATCCCTACAGAACACCAACCACCGTGGTTACTTTTATCTCCTCTAGGTCTCTAAACAGCGCCGTGGCATTCTGCTACTGCTTTAGATCTTTCTTAGAACTGTCAAATTATGCAGTTATAGCTAATCTGAGCTAGTGTTCACAGTACCTGAACACATCTTAAGCTCATATAATAAGCCCCTGGTTATAATGGTGTATGGGAACTGCCTGAACCTCTGATTGATCACCTGAGGTGAGCCATGAGTCAGCCAGAGGAGCACAGCTGAAGGCAATTCACCTGTGCTGCCAGAAGGGGTGGAGCCTGGCTCCACCTCTCCTAGACCTATTTAAGAGCTGGCTGCCAGTGGGGAAGGATCTCTTCTTGAGATCCCTTCTTCTGGTGTTTTTTTTTTTTTTTAGGTGAGCCTAGCATATGGGTAAGCCTTCCATTTTTTCTCTCCTATTATCTTAGTCTACTTTGCCTAACTCTCTTGTTCTTTTTGTGATTATAACGTCTGAATATCCATTGATTATACACATGCCTATAATCTACAGCTTGCCTGCACAGATTTATAGACTACAAAAGACAACTATCCATTACAAGCTTTAGAACTTCCTTAGAGCTTACGGAGGAACAACTTCCAGTGTTCCTGCCCAACCATGCACTTGGACAACAAACATTTATTCCAACACAGAAGATGGTTAAAACAGACAAAAATGTTGTTCTAGTGCATTATTTTTTATATCTTGCCAGTTGTTTGCTGGTCTGAAAGTAGAAACTGAGTCGCAATCACAGGACATTCTCACATTTCTGGAAGTGTAAGACTTGACCCTGCCAACAGAAAAGTCCTATGGTAAAATTTGTTACAAGTTTAAACCAGATGTTTTCATGCTTACCTACAGCAAGATACCTATTGTTACACAAACGTCGTAACAAGTAGTATCCAGCAACCCCCAATCTCCTCTAGGGTCTTGCTGATGTCTTTATAGCTTCTTGCTGGCCTAATCATCTTCCTGCACAAACTCATTACAGAAGTGAGTTGTAGCTAGCAATTAAAAAAAAAAAAAGTACGTTAATACTGAACTTATGCACAATAAACTAAAGCAAATTGCCTTTGCTGGTTGTAGATGTCCTTAGCTGTACAATTCTTCCAATGCAAAAAAAAAAAAAACAACTAACCATTAATTTTAGAGGCATAGGATATACCTTTAAAATAAGTTATCTTTATCTGCTCATATCATTTCTATATTCCAATGAATGCTGTTAATTAAGACTGCTGATTTATGCAATAATTGTTTCCTCAGAATAATAGAAAGTTGCTGCCTCATTTCTTAGGTGACACAAAACACATTTGTTTCTTATACCAACTGAGTCTTCACTGTGACTTTATTCTTAAAATCTGCCTGTTGTTTGATTTAGTACTATAAATCTTTTGTTGGAAACTTTTGAGAGGACAGTTTTTACCATGATGGACATCAATACCTTGGTACGGAATTAATTTCATACCGAGATACAACAGCAGTGTTACTTTAACAAACATTTATTATATGCTTTGGAATTGTGCTGTGCAGTGCTATAATTTACATGCTATATACAAAGCCAAACCAAAATGGCAAAACCACAGACAGAGGATTTTTAAGGTAGATACCCAGATTTGAACATGCTCTACATTTTCTGTATCATCACCTGGAATTTACCTGCAAAGAGAATGCAAAGTCAGATCAAAGCATGAACTTTAGATCTATTACTCCAAGTAGTTACTTTCTTTTTAAGACATTTTTTGTTCAGACATTTCTAAGGAATGTTTCGATCTTATGGTTTAATTGTGAGATATCTAGCCATGATTTAAATTTAGCATTTAAACCTAACTCCAACTGAACACATTCACTTTTTTTTTTAATTGATCCATGCCCCACATTACAGCAGTTTTCTTGTTCAAAGCTCGTGAAAATATTTAGCTCCATCTTAATCAGCTTATGTAGTTACAATGGAGTTCACTTACTACCTTTTTTACTGACTTCTACAAATAAAGAGCACATAAATAGTTGTTTTTATCTTCAGTTATTGCAGTGGAGTTCTGGATGTACGCCCTTTTGCATCCAAAGCCTCCAAATGGAAATATAAGTTTTTAATGTAGCTTTACTTTAATGCCATGGAGGTTCACTGTCAGTATTTTTTAAAGCACAGTGAAGTTGGTGACTAAAGTTATCAAGTGAGCTAATAGAGGAGTACTCTTGAGAAGTACTTACATGCGGGCATTGATGAAACTTCAGCTGTTACAATACTCTTTATTCCCAAATTCGATAGGCCCCCTCTGATTAGTCCACAGGTAAATGCTAAATACTAAACATAAGGTTACATTTTAAAGAAGTTTCAAGGGTGAAGCCTGTTGCAAAACATTGAAGAACTGAAGACTTATCGCTTTGCCAATATAAAACTACAGAGGTTTTGTTATTGTTCGTCAGTGTACTGTGACAGTGGCAGAAGTTTCTTCCTGAACTGCACACAGAATACATCAGCTCAATGATTTTCCACTTGCAGTCAGTACAGCTCCCACCATCAAATCCCACCATGTTTCAAAATCACTGACTGTTTCTTGAAATACAGACCAAATAAACTGTACTCAAAAAAGGTGCATTTCTAAAAAACAGTTTTTGGAGATTTAAATTTTAGCTTCCCTTTTTGGTGGGTTTGTGTCCATTCAACTACAGAATTTCATGTTATTATTAATAGACCAAGATGATTCCAATCAAGTTCATAGATCCCAAGAAGGGTACCTTTGGTGCATGTTCTAAATACTGCTTTCCTGCAGACATTTGTGTCAAGAGTCGGAATTTGTTGTCTTGAAGAACATAAATACCCTGTTTAAAAATAAATAAATAAATAAATAAAAATTAATTGAGTTTCTAATGAGAGGTGATCAGAATTCTACCAAGCAACGTCATCAACAAGCAAGCTTTAGGAAGTTTTTCAGCTGTTTTGTATAGAACTATGTTCAGTAGGGTGCAATTAAGTGTCTTGACTGCTGAAAACTGTAAATCTTTTTCCAAATTAAAAAATGACTTCAAGACAGCCATTCTATTTAAATGAGTTTTAAGGCAGCAATGTAATTTCTCACACTAGTTTTCTACTAAAATATATTGTGAGATTCATGAAAAAGTTCCTGTGTGAGTCTTAATAAACTGTAAGCATCACTGTCCTGTCAGTTTGTAATTCCACAACACTGTGTATGAAATTGAAAACATTTAGTCTTTTCAAACAGGGTGGCAAGAAATACATCATAAGCAATTAATTACTAAATGGTATTCTCAAAATCTGCGCCAACACAGACTTTTAAAAACTGCTTTAAAAAAAAAAAAAGAACAGTCTGGGTTTCTTCCCAGGTAATATATCCTAGACCAAGACAAACAAAAAAATCCACCTATAACACAAGATAGTGTTACTGATTTTGTAACTTAAATAATATTCTAGAGCATTAGTACCTGATGATTAGTCCTTAGGTTGTCTATTTGCTTTTTGAATACAGTTGTCCAAAAATCTTTGCAAATGAACTTCATAATATCTAATTCATCCTTGAACCTGGCTGTATCTTTTGTAAACCTAAAAGACAAGTGAGAGAAATATGTCAGTCACGAATGTACGCGCAACAACTTGACTGATTAAGCAGAAAAATACAAAACAATTTTAAAAAAATGGTACTATACAACATTACTTTAGAGAACGCTACAGAGATTAATGTTCCAGCTATCATGCTAGCAACACTCAGCTTTCACCATGTATTGTAACTTGAGTAACATAGTTTTATCTTAATATTTGCAGCACTGTGGTAAGAATAAATGAGTTTGAACTATATGATCATCAAAGACAGCTGAAGTACATAAAGATATCTTAACATAAAGCTCTCACATATAGTAGTGTTTGGAAGGGCTCCTTCAAATATTGAAAATATCAGCCAAAAAACAAAAGGCCAAATATTAATGCGTAGGAACAATCACACAAAACTTGTCTTCTGAAAAGTGCCTTCCTTCTTCACAGTTCTCCCCCTGTATTCTCCCTGATGGTCTTTGAGTCACTTTGATCAACTCTTGTCTCAGGTAACAGCGATTCAGGATGAGAGGTGACGGCCTTAAGTTATGCCAGGGGAGGTTCAGGCTGGATATTAGGAAAAACAACTAATCTACATAGTGGTAGTGCATCAGAACTGGCTGTCCAGGGAGGTGGCAGAATCAGCATCCCTGGAGGTGTTCAAGAACCGTGTGGATGTGGCACTGAGGGGCACGGTTAGAGGGACGATGGTTGGCCTGGATGCTCTTAGCGGTCCTTTCCAACTTTAACGATCCTATGAAAACGTGACGTAGGGAGCTCAGGATTCTCCACACAACCCGAGACTGCGCAGCGAGGCACCGGGAGACGGAAGATCCAAGGGCTGAGAGGCCCTTGGAAGGGGAAATCTCGCGGTACAATTACAAAATAATTACAAAACTACCCTTCACACCCACCTCTCGATCAGCCCCTGCCCGACTCGAAAGCCCATGCTCTCCAGCTTGGTGGTGCAGCGGCCGTTCTCCTGCAAGACACAAGGGCAGCCGCCGCCTCAGCCTCGGGCCCGGCCGCCGCCGGACGGCCTCGGGGGCGGCACCGGCCGCACTCACCCCTTCGCCCTGCTCGGCGGCTCGGTACAGCCCCGCCACCATCTCGTTGTGCAGCAGCAGGAACAGCGCCTCGTCCGCCATGTCCGCTCCGCTGCGGGCGTCCCCGTCCCCCCGCCGTCACGGCAAAGGCAACGGCCCGCCGCCGGGAGCTGCTGCACCGCCCCTTCCGGGAGCAGGAGGGCTGCGGGCGGCAACGCCGGGGCTGGGCAAGGCTGAGCGGAGAGCCGAGCAAGGGGCGAAACCAGCTCGTCCCGGGGCGTGTATGAGAGAGGAAAGACCGCTTTTGTGCTTTTTTGTTTGTTTGTTTGTTTTTCCAAACGTCACTTTCTATTCATCCTCCATTTCCTGCCTCTGTAAGATGGCAACCGGCGGGGCGCGGGATGCAGCCGGAGGAGCCCCAGCAAAAACGGCACCCGTATTCCGTTAGGGCAGCGTCCCGGCGGGCAGCGGGGGGAGAACTATAGCCCAAAGCCCGCGACGCCCACCCGACACCGCTCCGCGTGAGAACCCGTTACAGTAGCTCACGTTGTGCCGCGCGGGAGAGTACTACGCGGCAGCCCGCAGTAACGCTCCGCCTAATTCGCTCGTTCGGCACAGAGGCTGTGGGACCGTGAAGGTGATTGGCTCCCACCACAGGAAAGTGACGAAGTAACTTTTCGTTAGCTAACACAGACGTCGCTCTGGCTCTCCCGCTTTTGATTCGCAGAGCTGGCAAGCGGCCGCTCTCGGTAATTGGTTAAGAAGGATGTCAGTCCGCCTCTGAGCTTCGTGATTGGCGGATGAGTGCGGAGAGCCTTTCCAGGAGGGCGTACCCTTTCGCTTCAAGCCCGCCTATTGGCAGTCGGCGGCGTCCGCCGAGGGGCTATTGGCTGCGCTGTCCCGTCCCTCGCGGAGCCGAGTGGCGGCTGTCGGGCGGAGCCTCTCCCGCCGTTACCCAGCGGTGCCTTGCGCTGGGCCCCGGCTAGGCCGCGCGGTGGGCGGTATGGCGGTGGCAGTGCGTGCGCTGCAAGAGCAGCTGGAGAAGGCCAAGGAGAGCCTTAAGCACGTGGATGAGAATATCCGCAAGCTCACGGGCCGGGACCCCAACGATGTGAGGTAAGGGGCCGCTTAGCGGGGTCGTCTCGAGGAGGCCTCCCCCGCATCTCCGGCGCGGCCCCGGGCCGGTTGGCGGCGTCCCCGCGGAGGTGGGGGGGGCAGCGATGGCTGCGGGCCCCGCGCCTGAGGCAGCGCCGCGGGAACGCTGCGAGGGGCCCGGGCGGTGCCGCTGAGCGTTGTGCTGTCTTCCGCAGGCCCCCTCAGAACAGACTGCTGGCCCTCTCAGGCCCTGGTGGAGGTAGGGGGCGAGGGAGCTTACTGCTGAGGTAAGGATCCGCGGCTCTCCTTTTCTCTCGTGGCGCCGGGTTGCTGTCTTTGCGCGTTCTGCGTTCTTGATTTGATCCCTGTGCTCGCTGTAAGGGATCGGAAGCTGCTGCTGTAACAACGCGGTCGAGTGGGAGGCCTGCAAGGGCAGCCGGGGTTCGATAGCCTGCGGTGCCTGGTTTGATACCGGTGGCTTTCCTAAGCGCTTCCAGCCGTTACCCTTAAAGTGAAGGAGGACCTTCAGAATGAAGGGAGGTGCTCTCTGCTGAGGTGGGCCTCCTTGCTTTGAAGTGGTGCAAAATCACTGTCTTGGTGGCTAAGAAACTGGTAGTATTTCTAGGGAGAATAGAAAAAAGAATGGAACTCTCCAAAATTCCCAAAACTCATGTAGGTGACTTCTTTTGGGAATTTACCATCTCTACCCTCTTTTATTTCTTATCTCTGTGGTAGAGCCAGAATCAAGAACAGACTTGTACTCAGTAATTTCATCTTATCAAATACATAGTACATTCCTTTTCTTTTGTTAAATTTCAACACCAAATTGTTGCCGAGGCCTTAACACTTTAAAAACTTCTGCAAAAAACTTTTTGAACCTACTGAGGTAGCTCATTTGAGGGTAGCAGCTCATCTGCGTAAATTTAAATGGGTTGATTCACATACAGTGCATTTAAATACTTTATTCCTGTAGCAGCAGTCAAATGATTACAGAATTGAGTAAAATGTATGCCTTGCTCTGAGATCACAAGTGGTTTCCTTTTAGGCGTGGATTCTCGGATAGCGGAGGAGGACCCCCAGCCAAACAGCGGGATCTTGAAGGGGCATCCAGTAGGTGGGTGGAAAAATGCATGTAGAGACCTTGCTTTCTCAGAATGAGAATTTGTAACAGTATATTCTAAATACTTAGATGCAATAATTTAGTAAATGATGACCTTCTATGTCTTCTTCAGAAATTTATTCGTGACTTGTGAGAAAGTTTTTGGAGCTGACTGTGTTGGAATCTCTTTTCTAAATCCTATAGTATTTTAAAGATTATTAGAGTAATATGAAGACTACAGCAATAATATAAAGATAAAATCAGTGCTAAGATTCTTGCACAGTGGAGACACTTAAACGTATAATTCTTTCTCTGCTGGATTCAAGGGCTTATGTGGCCTCTGGAATCACTGTGGAGAGAACTGTATAGAGAATTAAATAACTTTGTGTATTTACTATGGATAGAAAACTCAAAGGTGTTGAAATCTCACACGCGCTATAATGAAGAGCACTTCTCATTTTTGTACTTGCTCCAGTGCAGTGGAGGGGTATTTCTTGTTCCTTGTCCATTCTGCAGGCAACTCCTCCTTTAAATTTCTGGGCGTTTTTGTTGCAGGCTGTAGTGAGTTGATCAGTTTTCTGAATATAGTTACAGTGTTAGATGCCAAATCGTAAAATCTTGATTTAAAAACTTACACTAAGTAAAGCAGGAAATTCATTGCAGTTTGCTGTGTTAAATTTTGCATATTAGCCCAGACTTCTTTAACAATAGACACAAATTGTGACTAGGATTTCCCTTTCATTAAGTTTAATGCCTACTGTGTGACAGTATATACAAAGATTTCAGGCTTTCACAACTGGATGCAGATCCATCATATGTGGCTTTGGTTATAGTGAGCTGCATTTTCTGAGCGCTTACATGCAGTGCTAAATCTTGACAAAAGCAACACTTGCTTTTTAACTTTTGAGTTCTACAAAATGCATACTGAAAAATGGCTGTAGAGATAGTAAACTGCTATACCACAAAGCTGAGATCAAAAGCTGAAAATAACTTTCATTTAATAAATTGCCTAGCTTTCTTTGTTGAAAAACCTGAGGTTATCCAAGGGCTCAGGTCCCAGCTAAATGCTTTGTCTGTCCTTAACTGTTTTCTAGGTATTTGCCTAGATAACCTCAGTAGCATTTTGAATTTGAGAAAACCGTACTGCCCTCTGTGTCTTGATGCATTTAAATCTAACTCGTATTTCTCTTACATAAATAAACATTTTAGGCATTCTGGAAAAAGAAAAGCCCAAACAGGAAACAAAATCCATAACTGCTCTAGAAAGTCAAATAGGGCAGTAACATGGGTTCTTCATTCCTACTTTACTACTGAAATGTCATTGAAATTTAAATCACTTTTTCTCACGTGGTACTTTAAAAATCTTTTTGAACAGTATTTTTTTAGGCAGTGCTGTGAAAGCACTATTTATCTCTTCTCACTGTTCTGATCAACACTTTTAGTGGAATTGTTGGTTCTGCTGACTATATATGCTGGCATATACAGATGCAGTTGTTAACAAATGTTCTCCAGTGGCCAGTAATGCTTTTTACTCCTCAGGCTGGGTGGAGAGCGTCGGACGAGAAGAGAATCACGCCAAGAAAGTGATGGAGAGGATGATGATATTAAAAAGGTAATGCACGACAAAGGGAGCTGTGTAGGAAGAAGGAAAGCATTTAGGTGAACTAAGAAGTTTGTATTTTTCTGTTGTAGCCAGCATTACCATCTTCTGTTGTTGCTACCTCCAAAGAGCGAACACGTCGAGACCTTATACAAGATCAAAATATGGATGAGAAAGGAAAACAAAGGTAGGCAGCAGTCTCTTCATGCATTTAGGTGATGCTTCAGAGTCCTAGCTTAGGAAGTAACTTCAGTTTTTAAAAGGCGTTATACAGATGCTGTTATGTATCAAAGATGGTTTTGAAGATGCACCAGAATAGAGTAGATTGTAGATTTGGTTTAGGTAAATATTCTCTCAAAATATTTACCGTAGTAACAACAAATCATTCATGTAACACAGCTGAAAGAGATTCTGCTTCTCAAGCCATCTACAACAATAAGATTGTTATTGTAACAGGTCCTCTTTAAGTAGGACAACTTAATTGGTTACTTAACATTTTGGACTGTTAAAACAGGAAATAAACCCAGAATGTGAACACAGGGACATCCATTCTGCCCTGCTTTGTGATATAGAAGATTGTGTCAATGTATCTTGGAAGTAACCTGTTGTGTACCTTTATAGCTAGTAAGTATACATCTTGAAAGAGCAGCTGCCAAAGACAGTACAGGTGATTCTTACTACTCCCACTTCTTTTGTTGGCTGAAAAAAGGTTTTAAGTGTGTAGTTTTCTTTTTTTTTTTTTTTTTGCAGAGTAGCTCCTTCATGGGTTTTTTTTTTAATTCTTACTATACTTTTAGGCTAGTTGTGCATATAATTTGACGTTCCTTTTACCTCTTTAAATTCTTAGTGTTTATATCTCCTTTTTCTTCTTGTGCATGTGTGTGTGTTTTAAAGTAGCTCACTAAAGTTCTTGTTAAGATGCACTTATTTTGAGAAGAGCTGTTGGAAAAGCAGCTTTGCAGCAGTATCCAACTTCTTGGACTCTCCAGTCAGTGGCCTACCTGGTGTCATAATCACTTATGCTTCAAGTAGAATCAGAGCTGAAATAGTGAATTGTTTTGCACTTCTTTGATGAGGAACAGAGATCAGTTAGAACAAAAAGACACTTTGCTTGGTCATCTTTTGCTTCTTCTAATGCTGCTGTTGCTTCCATCATTAGTTCCTGACTTTTTCCCTACAGAAGGAATGGTGGTGGACTTTTATAGGGCTTCTGGCACAAAAGGTTTGTCTGTTTGCAATTGTAGTTTTAGCATTTTGCATTTGAGTTGTGTTCTGGGGAGATGAGAAACAGTGTTGATCTTCATGTGACTCATTGGAAAGAGGCCTTCAGGGAGACAGCATCCATTCAGCTCTGGCTTTGCTCAGGGTTTTCTGGGTTGCCATTTGTATAC